GAAATCTATTATTTTTGCATGAAATTGAATGGAAAAATAATGGATTTCTTTTTACTACACCTAATATATATACGGAATTCGCAAGAGACACCGAATACATATTAGTCCATGCGAAGTTCTCAACTATTCAAACGAGAAAAAAAAGGACAACACAGATAGACAGTCATGAGACAATCTACTGACGAGCGTAAACAATGGCAAACGAAAAACGAATAATAATTAAAGACGCATTATAAACCGCATTTATTTATCGTAATGGGTATCAAATAATCCAGTCGACAATGCAGTCGAGCGCAATGTTGCACAACACTGTAATCCGTTAAGGGAATGAGATGCAGCCGCTGCTAAGAAAATTAAACCACTAGATTGTATATATTTTAAATTGTATAACCTTCTAGAATAAAATCTTCTAGAATATTCGAGAAATCGTTTTCCTTTTTTTTCTCTGGATTAAATAAGAATCGAGAAAGAAGAGCAATAGATTTATTTATCCTCTAGCTTTGGTCACGTGAAATGGTGTCTGTTAACGCACTTAGTAATAAAAGACTTTAATATTTGCATACATTGAGTAAATCATTGGCACATATAATCATCTGTGTCTCTTAATACCATAAACCAACTAAAAAATATTTATATTAAAATAAGATAGAATTAAAATAATTACACTTATTTTTCAACAACATTTTGCTATTTGATCATTACAAAATAACTTTGAAAGATACAATTTTTACTAAGAAGTACATATCTAATTTTTATTTCTGTTACATTTCTATTACGTTTTTGTTAATTTAATATAGAGTTTATTATAGAATATAGAGTTTATTATAGAAGCAGTTTATACTGTACATACCAATGATACTAATATACTAATTATACTACATATCAAGTTCATTACAATGCAACATCCATATTTCATTTATTGCGAAGAAACTATATATATAGTGTATGGAACCATTATTGGTATGAAAATGTAGAGAAGAATTCTTTTTATCATATTGATATATTTTAATCATAGTAATTAATTGTTTTAAAAAAATCTAAATTGTGAAAATTGTGTCAATCCGGTCTCCCCTATTTATTCATATTGTGATCTTCAATTATTATTAAATAATTAACTTTTTTTATCAAAATTTCTGACATTATTTTAGGACACAAAAATTTAAGTATTTTTTATAATAATCATTATAATAATTATTAAATTTAT